AAATCGAAAAAAATCGATCGTACAAAAAAAAGCAGAATTGTAGGAAATTTAATTATAAATAACTTTTGTAAAAACTATTTTCCGTGTAAAATTGAAAATAAATGAGTTATTCAAGATACAAAAAATAACCCTTTAAATCAAGCTGGCGGAGGTAACGACAACTTTGGAATCCCAACTTTTTGAATTTAGACTACCACAGACCCCCTCCAACGAATTCTGAAGGAAAATTGCTGCTTCGAATTTTTCAGAATCTCAAGCCTGTTCTTCGCCTAATCCGATTGGGCTAAATACTATCCCAATGAACGTATACAGTTGGACTTTGCAAATAGTCACTTTCCTGAGGCCCATTTTAACTACAACGACTTTCAAGTCAGTTATGCAAACTCTACTCTGAAGAAATATCTCTTGGATTATGTTGCATTTAAAAATCGTGCTTTGTTCGTTATTGATTGTTCAAAGCAAAAGGAAACCATGAAAACGTCTACTGATCATGTGAGATTGGATATCGAAGCCGATACTGGATTCCTGGGCAACACTAAAGCCTACTGTATAATTATTCATGATTGCTTAATGGAGTACTTTCCCCTCACCGAAATTATTAAAAACATCTCATAAAAATCGTTATCATCAGATCCAAAACAGACATCATGAGAATCGCACTCGTCGACATTCAAGGCTTCATCGTTGATGACTTATTTGTACCTAAAGAATTAAGTATCAAAATTGGTTTGAAGACGAGCCATTACATCTTTACGCCTCCGCAACCTTTTGCTACATTAAGTAATAAAGACAAAAAAACTGCATTGTATTTAGAGAAGAATTTACATGGTATTAAATACTCTTCGGGCAACGTAGAATATTCCAAGTTGAATAAAATACTTGAGAATAAGTTGTTGCTTGCTGCAGACTATGTTTATGTTCGAGGAGAACAAAAAGCAGAATTTTTACTTAAGAAATGCAAGATTTTAGGCGTTTTTCCCAACATTATTAACGTTTGCAAGTATGATGGTACGCCCTGTGCAACTGGGAACTTTGCCCCTGATATCAACCCATGTCATGTCACTGGACAATTTTCTTGCACCTAACGAAATGTGGAACGTCTACGCCAATGGCTTATAAATGTAATATTACCTATGTAATGGGTAGTTTTTTAAAATAAATTTTAATTCCTTAACGTATGATTTGGGTTTTATTAAACCGCCTTTCCTTTTTAAATATTAATTTTAATGCAAGATGATTCGCATTTGCGATTTACAATTTTTACAACAATATTTAACAATATTATTATTATTATTCCAAAAAGTATAATATATAAAAGTATAACTGATGTATCATATTGGGTGATTTCATCTTTCTCGTACCATCTTGAATCGCTCTCCGTATTATCAGGAAATATAAGCTTTATCTTATAGAATTGTCTTGACTGTATTTAAATTAATCTTTATTCAGAATTCGTGGTATTTTTGCATGTGATTAGTAATCTAACATATGCATCTGTTCTAGAAATTTCAATTGCAACGAAGTGTTTAAAATTAGTTATGTGAACATGTGTCTTTCCGGAAATTCCAATTACAAGATAATATTTTCTATCTATACAACGTGTATGAAAAATTAGGAACGTCTATGCGATTTTTCCTAAAAATTAATAGGGGTAAATTTCGAGGCTTATGTATTCGGTAAATTTATTCTCAATGAATCGGACCAATAGAAATAAAGATATAAGTTTTAAGTCCTTCTGGCTTTCGTTCTACGCGTGATTTTTCTGTTCGACGTTCATCTATATCACGCTCTCTACATAATCACGTTTTTCCCGTTTAAGTCTGAACAACAATAACAAAGATATAAGTTTTAGGCCCTTTTGGCCTGACACTGCGCATGAGTTTTTTCTTCAACGTTCATTTATATCACGTTTTCTACGTAATACCGTTCTTCTTGTTTCAATCGGACGAATAGTAGCCGAGAAACATGTTTAGGTCTTTTTGGCTTTCGTTCTGCACATTATTTTTCTCTTTAACTTTCATCTATAGCACGTTCTCTACATAATCACGTTTTCCCGTTTAAATCTGACCAGTAATAACCGAGAAACACGCTTAGGCCCTTCTGGATTTCGTTTTGCGCATGATTTTTCTATTCGACGTTCATCTGTACCGCGTTCTTTACATAATTCCGTTTTTGCCGTTTGAATCGAACCAGTAATTTCCGAGAAACACGCTAAGGCCCTTCTGGCTTTTCGTTCTGAACATGATTTTTTTTGTTCTACGTTAATCTGTACCACGTTCTCTACATAATGCTGTTTTTCCCGTTTGAATCGGACTAGTAATGTTTGAGAAACATTAGGTCTTTTTGGCTTTGGTTCTGTACATGATTTTTCTCTTCAACGTTCGTCTATACCACGTTCTCTCCATAATGGCGTTTTTCCGTTTAAAATCTGACTAACAATAACAAAGATATGAGTTTTAGATCCTTTTGGTCCGACATTGATGATTTTTCTCTTCAACGTTCATTTATTATGCGTTCTCTACATAATGCCGTTTTTTTCGTTTGAATCGGACCAGTAATATCCGAGAAATACGCTAAGATCCTTCTGGCTTTACGTTCTGCGTATGATTTTTCCGTTCGACGTTAATCTATACTGAGTTATCTACATAATAACGTTTTTCCCGTTTGAATCGGACCAATAGCAATAAAGATACACACTTACGTCGTATATTTTTCATTGTTTACGTCAACGATTGCCGCCATCTTGGATTCACTACGTTATATAACCGCGAGCTAATGTTATCATATTTACTAATAAGCAAGACTTCGATTCTAAATAATCCAACAATCAAATTTATGCGCCGACCACGTTGTCAGCATGGTAATACAGAATTTACGGTGAGTTCTCCATGGAAAAAACACCATCTACGATGGTATTTTCCTCAAGCAATACCTGTAGCTCTTACCAACGTACAAACGGCTTTCCAAATGTGACAAAATACTTCGACATTAAGGTTTGAAATGGTTACTTCCCCTAGTATAACATCTCCTGATATTACTATAACTGTTTGCAAAACTTATTATTTTAGAACAAATTGTATGGATAATGAGGAATGCACGTTGACCCTTGACGGACGCAGTCTTGTTGGCGAAGCAAGTGCCATTGCGAAAATTGCTATCGATGCTAAAACGCTCGTAAGAGTAGGTTTCATCCTGCTCATCGCAGAATCAACACTTATCTTTTGGTATCATTTTCATCGCATAATCAACACTTTTAGTTTCTCCCATTGACTCACCGATGTTGTTTTTACTTTGTGGGGTCTACATTTAAGAATAGGTTTCATCCTCCTCGTCGCAGAATCCACACTCAACTTTTAGTTTTTCTCATTCCCTCACAGCTGCTATGTTTGTTACTTTGTTGGACATACATTTAAAAAATAGGTTTCATTCTCCACATCGTAGAATCCACACTTTCTTATTTTAGACGTCCGCTTATATATTTAACCACTAACTTTGATTTTTCAGGTAGGAGAATTTTTTCAATATTTTTCCCGTAATCTACACATAAATACCTTTTCAACGAGGTATCACATGCTCCAGGGCGGGGGTGGCCCCGGGGTCGCTGACCGCGGGGGCGGGGGTGCGGGGCGCCTGGCACGAACCATGCGATCCCACTATGCCTCACCAAGTCCGTGCGAATCGTTCCCCTCTCTCTAACACATTGATTTCCCATACCTATAGGTACCTCTCTCTCTAACACATTGATTTCCCTATACTGGTAGTGGTACCCGTATAGTATATCTACTTAAAAACGTTCCTTCTTTCGAGAGCTTCTTCACTATCCAAAAAATAATAGTGGTTCAATGTAGGGTTCCTTAATTGTTGTTCTCCAGGAATTCCTCTGTACATATGATATATTTGGCCACATACACTGAAGGACCAATGGCCTTGTTGTCCTTGGCGATTTTGGACTTTTCTGCTGGTATTGAAAGATGCCATAGCGAAGATACTATTTATAGATCTTATCTCTCTTCTGAACCGAATAGCATTGCTAGTATTCCCTAAGTACAAGTTCTTCAAGGCTTGCGGACAATTTGAATATGACGGCAAACTGTATGCTCCGTTCTTACAACAACTAAGCCGTACATTAGAATGGTTCTTCTTCTCTCCTGTAAAATACAGGGCTTCACAATGTTCGGACATTTTTATCATCGGACCCAAGAAATGAGGATTACTTGCTTGTAATTCCATTTCTTCTGTTGTCATAGTAATGGCTTTTTTGTACGCCACTCGCAGACAACCTAATTACGAGATATTTCAATAACACAATACATTTATAATTTGATTAAATTAAACATTACAAATAAAGAATTATATATTGTTGACAAAAAAAAATTAAAAAATAACAAATATACTATATTATAAAAGAATCGAAACATTAAACAAAAATTATTTAAATGTAAAATTAATAATAAATAACTTTCTTAAACATATAATTAAAATTAAATAAATAATTACTTTTATCAACAATTGTATACAGTGTCGGATTTGACTATTAATGTATTAGACAAAAAAACTAATAAAACCTCGTTCAAGTAATAAGCTCTCGTTCAAATAATAAACCTGAAATAAAACAATAACTCCTCATTTAATCAGTAGACTCAGAATAAAACAGCAAACTTTTGAAGAAAAATTTCCTAGTAATACATAAAAAATTTTTTTTCAACTTTTAAATAAAAATTAAATCATAAAAAAATTAATTTATCTTCTTCTTGACTAAAAATCCTTGGAAATCTCATTCCGACACTGTTTATATAATAATATAAGTAATTCAATACCAAAAAATTTTAAACATCTAATTATAAAAAATAAATGAAATGAACTTAAAACACTTTATCTGTAGTTACTAAATATAATATTATAATCTTTAAGCATAATTAATAAATAATATGAGACACTAGATATTTATAACACATACAAAAATAATTTTAAAATAATATCGCAATATTTATCTATAATACGTACGCTCTTCGATGTTTACGAGCTTATCCAAAATGACGTTACTCACATGGGCCACTTCCGTATTCGTAGGATATAGGATGGCTTTATTGCCATTGTTCCTGTTGACGAAATCATTGTCAAAAACAAATTCTATTAATCGGTCGATGTTATCCAATTGAAACGTTCGTGGAATTTGTATTAAATCTTGTGGTGCGCGACTGCCTCCGATTATAGCTTTAGCACTTAAAGTAGTGTTCGGTATTGTTCCCTTTCCCAAATCCAACAACCATTGGGAGTATGTGCGGTCGTCCAGTTTGGCTATATTTTCGGGATATTTTCGTGCGCTCATGTTGTAGTCTAGTTGTAATGTTATCGTAGAATTCCATAAAATGCTCCGTTTTAGGGTGGCATTTAAAAGTCGTATTTATGCCCGCCTATAACAATGGGTAATATTTGGCGAAAGTCACCTCTGAGTACACAACATTTGGCCCCCATGGGTGCGTTCTTGTTCGTTATGTCTAAGATATCTGTCTACTGCTTCCAAAGCGAACCTTGGGGTCATTGGTGCTTCGTTCCAAATAATAAGGATAACGTAGTTAGCAATACGCTTGCTTTCATTTGTTTCTACAGCCCAACCGGGCTTCCGTAAGATCTAACGGAAGTTTAAATGCTCGATGAACTGTCGTCCCGTCAATTAGTAGATTCGCAGCAATTCCAGTCCACGCAACTGCTATGCACGTTTTGTGGAAATGTTCTTTTATGCATGTTATTATTGTGTTGTATAGGTGAGTCTTGCCTGGTCCTCCAGGACCATCAATGTAAAATAGATTTTCATTGGGATCTATTTCCTCTTGAATATCATCGATAGACACGACGTCGCTGATGTTAGCTAATACGTCGAGCGGTATGTTCAAATGATGTTGTTTCGTGATAGTTTTCATTATTCCGAGGAATAGTCTCTTCCGATCCGGATTTAAATGTATCGGGCTGTACATTTCGTCTTCGTTGTTTATTTGTTGATGTCGCCTTTGTCTTTCAAAGATCGACAAATCATCGTCGTAATTTGAATTTTTGTTATTGTCTTTTCTTCGTCTTCTGTCTTGATCTTCATCGTCCTGTTCTTCGTCGTTTTCTTTGTCTCGTTCTTCGTTAAGTGTAATTCCAATTGCTTGCAAGCTTAAGTGTGGTCTATTTCTTCTTACGATCTCCTCAACGTATTCGTAAGCTTTTCTTTCTGCTTCTGCTGCAGTTAAACCTTCTAAAACAATATAATCTTTGATAAGAATATATCGATACTTTGTCCATAGGGGTCCAAATTCTAAAATACCCTCGTCAAAAATTACGCAACAGTATAGTGCAAAAAGTCATCGTAATTTTCTAGGATGGCATTTTAGAGCAGCTTCGCCCAAGGCTCTATTAAACTTATCTGTATTACGAATTAAATTATTAATTCTGCAAGCTTCTTTATGAGTTTCAGAAATCGTACCGTCTTCGTAAGTCTTCAAAACTCGTCGGTCCTCGTATTTTCGATAATAATATACGTAGAAAGTACATTTTTATTTGGTCGTCAGACGATGGTTTTATCTCGACCATGCATCCTAATTGTTTACTAACTTGCCTTCGTCTCTTCCATTCTGCGTTTTTATTATCCCAAGTATAGTGTTCTGGTATTTCCACATACAAATACCGTCTTGCCTCTTGGTCTTCTCTATTCAGCTTAAAAAAAGCTTCTAATTTTGATCGATTCTCCAGACGTCTTTGGATGTTATCAAAATCATCAAATTCTTTATATACCAGAGTACCAGAGTGCGTTCTTCCTGTAGGTGCACAGGCAATACTAACACCGAATGAGATTGGTCGTGCATTTTATATTCTAAAATGCGCCATGTCGCTTCCATTAAGCTGACATACCTAAAATCTTGATAATGGCGGATTTCATCGACCATTACTTGTTCTGTTTCTTCTTCTCGTCGTTCGTTGTCGTTAGTGGCCGTTGGTGTTCTCGTCAGTTGTGATCTTCTGCCAGCACGTGCTGTATTATCTTCTCCCACATACAAAGTAATGGCATCGTCTTTCTTGTTTATATACTTGTGTAAATATTTCATAATATAGAGAGAACCGACCACCCTGACATTAATGTGGGAATGGAACTTCGCTAAGAGATACGGATTGTACGGTAATATACGTCTATTTGGAGTGTGCTGGAGATATTCTTTCAAATAGATCGTCCGTCCATCGTTTGGTCGTTTGTACTCTGGCCGTTTGTTATTTCCTGCGTGTAACGTCGTATGTTTTTTATATGCTTTTGGATAATACTTTTTGCACTTGTTATCCTGCATACATAAAGCATCAGGATTTAGCCTTCCACACGGTGTATGTATGTGAAAATCCTTGACCAATCTATATACGTTCGGTTGTGTATAAACGTCTGGAATATATGCATAAATTATATGATCTACGGCTGGAACGTCGATAATCTTGTCATTCGGGTGCATAGTAACTACAATACGGGCATGTGGTAGGCCCCCCATCTTCTGAAATTCGATGACATAATGGTAATTACGTACGACCCTGAAAATTTGCTTCTGTACAAGGTCGCCCATTAATTCTAATCATTTGGCATGAAAAACGCGACATACCAAATCGGGTCTATTTTCCCATTTTTGCGCGCGTCCTAAATTTGTGACAATTTCCGGCCATCTCGGATTGCAAGTCATAGTGAAAAAAAGATCAGGCTTACCGTGTCTGGTTATAACAGTCATTGCACCTAAATATTGTCTCTGACGATGTCGTTTACCCCCTTCGAACGCAGATGGTAGAATAATGACCGATCTACCAACGCGAGGAAGTTCGCGACGATCGGCATCACGTTGAAGTCGTCGACCGTCTTCTTTAGTGGCTATTCTAAATTTTTCTTGATTTTTTCGAATCCAACCGCTTGTGGTGGATCTTACACCAACTATCAACAATGGATAAATGATTGGATCTGCCATTGGATTTAGATTTTTCAATTCTCCGGTGAGGTTGAGATGCATTTGGATTATGTGGATATAGAAATAAGTCCACTTCGAACGGTGGTTCTGTTCCTTGAAAGATCGCTGCAATCTCACTTCGACTCTCCGGTAAATCAAATTCTCTTCTTCGGAAGTTCATAACGGGATCTTTCATAAATCCAACGATGATGTTTCGTTTGTTATATTCTTGTCCGTCATTTTCTTCTCTTAATACCTCTCCTATAGTTTTATAGGCCTGGATATATCTATTTCTCCTTATTAATGTATCTTCCACAATTTCCAAGATTTACTCGTTTATCCTCATATTAAAAACGTCGTTCCTGCTTTCGAGAGTTTCTTCACTATCTAAAAAATAATAGTGTTTCAATGTAGGGTTCCTTAATTGTTGTTCTCCAGGCATTCCTCCGCACATATGATATATTTGGCCATCAGAAGCGACGGGAGCTCCAGTAATATTGATCAGGCCGTAAGGCAAGATCTACCTGGGCGCACCCCTATCGCGCTTCTTCATGTAGTAGGATGAACGAGATTCCCCGCGGCCCAGCGCTATCTCGCGAAAACTCTGACCCGCGAACTTCCCCGGCCATCCTACCGCAATAGGAGTGGCCTCGACTAATACCAGCACGGAACCCCGCTCTCGTTACACTCACGATTGTAAAAGTATCGCCGGTGAATGGCACGGCTTGGACTCAGGTGAGTCGGATGTTATAAGAAAAATGAAGTGAATGATCGTAGCGGTGAAGATAAAGATCCAACCTGGTACGAAGAACGGCAAGACGTACGCGGTGTCCGAGCATCAGACCGTTATGCCGTTCTAGCGCACCCAGTTGTTGTACGAACCGCTGAGAGTAATGTAGGGAATCCTTCTGAGAACATTAGGACTCACTCCAATGCCCTCGAGCCCTGACACGCTGATCGGGCTCCAAACGCCACGCCACGAGACTGTGGCTGAACAGAAAACGACATCGGCTTGGTTCATATGCCGGCTTTTTTCGTTTCGGGCATGCGAGAACTCCTCGACAATGATTGGAGCTAAGTGCGCTTCGTCGCGGTATTTGGCAACTTTGCGTCGGTGTGCTTCGTCAAGTCTATCGACTGCAACGACCTGGGCGTCGATAACCATGTAGCGGTTTCTCTTCCGCGCACATATATCCGGCTTTCTAGTACCCACGGTTGTGATAAAGCTCTTCTCATAGACAACGTTCCATCCCTTCGCAACCAAGTCCTCCCCGATAGCTTTTACGATGCAATCGTGGCATTGGATTCTCCCGCCGTGGGTTCGGTAGCAACGTTGAATGATGTGCCCTTCCGTTTCCGGACACGTTGCATGGCACATCACAGCAGGTTGCCGACCTCTCCGACCACGGGAGCATCGCATACCACTAGCAAGCGCATTACTCTGAACCCAGCATTGGTGCATGAATACGCGTCCGCTGGAATTGCGGTCTAGTCGGCGGATCCAACCAGCGGATCCAACCAGCGTTATAACGGCTTTTGCCGAAATCGCGCAGGCCAGATCCGTCGACCGCATCATACAACAATCGGGCCCAGTGTACATGAAGACTACCGGCTCGTTCGGGGTTGTTCACGCCGCTTAGTCGGGCACGGCACCACCTGATTTCGGAATCAAGCGATGCCGCGAATTAAATATAATAATTTGAAAAATAGCTTTTTAAAAACAATTTTATTACTTTTGATACAAGTTTACTTGACAACGATAGAACAGAGAATGATTTAATAACAGTTTTTCGTTGATTGGTTTTTGATAAGCTGAACAGTACAGTTGTCTTCGGGGATTTGATCTTCGATGCAAAAGTATGTGTTTTCTAAGAGCGGACAGGCTTCGTCTTTGAATTGTATTTTTGAGGTGCTTTGTGCCAGATATGGGTATTTTGGTATAAATGCTTGGTAATTTTGGATGATGGGATAAAGGCTATAAAAGGTAAGTATTTCGGCTCTGATAATTGGGATGTGTATAGCGAAAATTAATTTATTGTCTAAAAATGTAACTTGAGTACCCAAAAATTGATAATAAGTTAATATGTTATTAAATTTTGGAATTTGGTCATTTTGATATAGTTTTCCTAAATATTCTAGTGAGTTTAATAGTTCTTTGCTCGAGATTATTGAAGTGTGAAGAGTGTTAAGTTTGGCAAAAGCAATAGAATTCTCTAAATTATCTATAAATGTAATAATGTTTTGGCAATCTAAATTTATTTGTGAAATGATACCTTGAAAGGTTAGATATTCATGCAATTGAGTAATTGTCTTTCTTACAGACATTTGGAAATATTCGAGAGTTCGAAAATTTCTCTTGATTCAGTGATAATATGTTAATCGTTTTATTATAATTATTTATCAAATTTTTCGATAGAGAACTTTGTAAATTTATTTCATTAATTATATTTTTCTGGATTTGTTCTAAAATTTTAATAGCGTTATCGTATCGATTACCATCATCAGCGTCGAGTGTGCCGAACATTCATTTTTCTAGTTTGCCGACCCCGTCTATTATACCTCGTTTACTACGGATATGTGGTTGCAAGTTATCTAGTTTCTTTTGTGTACTTTTTATCATGAATTCTGTTCTTAACAACATGTCTTGAGATAAGGCATGATATGAAATATGATTAGTTGCGTTTTCTCTGTTCAGATTATTACTAATAATGAAAAAATGTTTATCTAAGTTATGTAACTGATTAATAATAGGGCTTAAATCTAAATAGTGTATAAATGTATGTTTGGAGTAAATTATATTAGCATTTCCTAATTGTATATGTAATATAGGGTTATTTACAGGTGTCAGTCCTATGTCGTCTTCGTCACTAAGTGCTATTTGTATCGCTTGAAGTAGTAGGAATATTATTTTCATTTTTGTCGGAAACCTGCAACAATGGTTTTTTATTAGTTTTAGGTTTCTTAGCGTTTGCTTTATGGTATGTATTTTTATCGGTCACGAGTTTTGTTTTAGTCTGCGTAATCAGTTTTGTCTTTTCGAACAGGTAATTTTTTATTTCTTAGTTTTGTCCTAATATATGCAAATTTTTGTGTTTTATAGTCTGGGGGATCGTCTCGTTTTTCGTTTCTTTTGTCGATTATTTTTTCTTTTGTTTTTTCGTTTGTTTCTTGTATATTTTCGTAAAGTCTAATAGCTGATTGTTTATGGGCTTGTACGTAATCTGATACTATTATATGGTCGTTTAGGTCAAAAGGGTCTGTTGAGTTTATATGTGCTTTTATTATCTCAAATGGGGTAAATTTAGTAACGCTATGAATAGAATTATTGTAACCAAGTATAGCACGTTTTATTAATTGATCTGAAGTTAAGTTTTCGTTTTCTTCCCTTAAACAGCGGAAGTGCTCGATTAAGGTTGAGTGGAAACGCTCTACACGAGAGTTTGAATTGCTATTTCGGGCAGTTGTGTAATGTAATTCAATCCTGTAAAGTTCCTCAAAAATTTTCTGTCCTTGTTTTTAAACTCTGTGCCTGAGTCTGCGGTTATTTTAGTCGGAAGTTCGTGGTGGGTTATAAAATTAAAGAGACATTCGGTTATGCATACTCCGTTAGCTGCTTGCAGGAGATAAGCTTGTCCGTAACGTGAGAAAGTATCGATAATAGTAAGATACATATTTCCTGAAATTTTAAAAACATCTATGTGAATATGTTCGAATGGTCGCGAGCAAGTTGGCGTTAAGTTAAATTTAATTATTGTTGGGTTTCGATCATATTTATTTTTCTGGCATATCTCACAATTATTTACATAATCTTCAATATCATTGGCCATTTTTGGCCAAAAATACCTTTTAGATAGGCGATAACTTCATTTCTTGAATGCCGCGGTGGCATGTTTTAGTTTCATGATAGAATTTTAGTTTTTCTTTTTGCAATTCATCAGTTTCAATGTCTTCTAATATGGTAACACATTGCGTAATTTTGAAAGAGGCATGTTTAAAATTCGCTTGCATTGTGATTGAGAATATCGCGGGTAATTCGATATCTCGAAAGAAGATAGCATATGTTTTATTAGGAGAGATATATTCTTTAATAAAATTTATTATGTTAGTGTCTGTATTTTTATTTGGTAAAGTTACATAAAAACGAGTATTATTGAAAATTTTAGTAGCTTTGCATTTTATAGATTCTATGTCTCCGCTAGTAATGAATATTTGATTTTTATATATGTTAAGAGCTCTTTCTGTAATAGGCATAGAGAAAATTGGGTTTTCAGCAGATGAGTGAATAGTTTCTAGGTCTGAGTCAGAGTCATGTGAGTTAATTTTTTCTGGTTTTCTTAACTATATGTCGGATATAATATTAACTTTGTCTGAACGGTTATTTGTTAATTCTAAGGATTCTAAAATGTCATTAAAGTCTGAGCCATCTATCGGTGGAGTTTGATCTATGTTCTCTAAGAAATGTTCGACTACATCGTCTGCATCTCCTGGGTTATTGTGTATTGATTCGGTTTCCATTGCATTTACTTCCTCTTTACAAGGGTTTCTGCTTAAGGCGTCCGCCGCTTGATTCGAGGTACCTTTTTTTATATTTTATGACGTAGTCAAATTCTTCTAGTTTGAGCCTCCATCTCACTAATTTGGAGTTCGGCTCTTTTAGAGAGAAAAGCCACTGCAATGGTTTTTGGTCTGAAAATATTGTAAAAGTGCCCCCAAACAGATACGGTCTAAAGAACTTACAACTCCACACTATTGCAAGGAGTTCTTTTTCTATTGTCGAATAGTTTACCTCTGCCGGGTTTAAAGTACGTGAAGCATAAGATAAAGGGTGACCGTCTTGTGAAAGTACAGCACCAATTGCATAATTAGAACTATCTGTAGTTAATTCAAAATCGTTGTTAAAGTCCGGGTAGGCTAAAACCGGTTCTGATATTAATAATTTTTTACAAGTTTCGAAACAATCAATAAATTCTTTAGTATGAACTACTTTTTCATTTTTTCTAAGACATTTCGTCATTGGTTTCGTTATTTTAGCGAAATTCTTTATAAATTTCCGGTAGTAACCG